ATTGTTAAACCATGCTGGGAACTGTAACTGGGAGAATAGGTGTCTCCTGACAGTTCTCAGGACCCTTAACAAATCACAATTCCCATAATTCTTTTGGGAAGCCCATGACTGTTTAAAGTGGTATCATAGTGTTTTAAATGTATTGTGTGGCTGTGACCTATATAATGAGATTTATTCATGCATTTCTTGAATATATGCTGCAAATAAAATGTGTAGTGGGAGCTGATGGGTGGGTGCTATGTATTTTAAATGTTAAGCAGTCTAGTAAAAACTACTATATAGTTTTGACAATTGTTTGTTTGCTTGCTTGCTATGCATTTGGGTACCTCTCAAGAGATGTCCAAATTTTGCATGATATTTCCTGAGATCAAAGTGCAGGTGTGACATTTTGAAACAGGATAACAGACTAAACCTTTCAAAACTGTGCTAATTTTAACCAAATTTTGCATGATGATTCATGACATCAATTTTTGGTCTATGTTTAGATTTTCATCACAGATTTCAAACCTGCACTGATTGTTTTGGTTGCTTAAAATTCCCAAGCATTGCAACTACAAGGCACCTAGTTTTAAATAAATAAATAAATAAAAATACAATTTGCTACTTGTGCATTTAGGCAGATTGTATTTAACCTCTCAATGTCCACTACCAGGCTGTGTACCTGACTGACAACTTTTACACCTAGCCCCACGCACCTGTGTAAAGAAATGTCCCTATATTTATCCATGAAATGTTAGAGGGTATGTGATCACTACAGAGTAACCAAGGAAGTACAGACCAGTCTCAGTCAGGAAAGCAGTCATTCTCTCAAGCTTCTTTGCTGTATCCTTCACATCACAATTAAGGTCACTTTCTTCTTGACCATAAAACGGACACTTCTCTGTTGCAATTAGTTAATGGGCACTTTTCTTTCTGCTGCTGTTCCCTCATTCTACTTCTTCATCCTTGACCCTTGTGCATCTCTGAAGTGCTGCAATTAGATTAGACAGACCCACATGACTCTGAGCTAAACAAAAAGTCTGCAGTGTAGTTTTGACATTTGATGCATACGTTAATTTTATTTCTCATGTAAAAAAGAAATCTGGGGTCTAATGAGATTGGATGGCCTTGTGTATGAAAGAAATATGCAACCAGCAACAATACTGTGTATGAAAAACACACCACTATATTATCCTATCCAACAGTCACATGTATAAGTTGAACAAAGAGGAAATCTCATTACAATTCACTAATGACTGGTATAACATAGTGGTTAAGCACTTGACTCATCCGTTGGAAGGTCTTGGATCAAATCTCAGTTTTAGTTTGTTCTGTAGTGCTTCCACGTCCTTGTTTTCCAGAGTGGCTATAGCACAACAAAGAAGGGCAAAAATAAACTGGAACATTTGTGGTTTAAAAGTTTATAGGATTTCAGTGGGCAGATATGCACTGATTGGAAGCTAAGCAGTGTGACCAGCCCAAAACTTCATGCAGTGCATAGTTAAACTATGGAACTTGCTCGCACAATGATGGTCATCAACTTCAATGGCTTTAAAAGAGAATTAGACAAATTCATGGAGGACATGGCTATCTATGGCTAGTAGCCATGATGGAGATGCTCTGCCTTCATGGTCAGACACAGAAATGCTTCTGAAAATGCTTCTTGTGGTTGCTGGAAACCACAAGAAGGGAAAATGCTCTTGTGTTTCAGTCCTGCTTTGCATCTGATTGGTCCAGGATGCTAGACTAGATGGGCCATCAGCCTGATCCAGCAGGTCTCCCTTACATTATTCTGGTCTTATCTTTGCTGGTGCAAACAGCATGATCATCCCAATAGCATAATGAGCACAGATAATCACGAATGTGCAATAAAAAAGACATCTGGAGCTGTCCCAACTATGGGCGTAGTCCCCCCAATCAAGTAAATAAATGGAAATACTTAACTAACTGACCAATTACATCACAGATAACTCGGTTCTTTCCCCCACAACATAAAGCCTGCTCCCCCTAGAATAAATCCTTGCTATGTCCATGGTCCCAACCTATTTTTGTAATAAAGCCACACTTTCTGTCCTTACTGTTTCATAACTAAGGAGGGACTGGAGCTCAGTGAGAGAGAGAGTGCATGCTTTTAGTGCAGAAGGTCCAACGTTCAGTTCTTGGCATCTTCACTTCTTCTTTTTTAAGTATCTGGTAGCAGATGATGAAAAGACTTCTGCCGGAGACCCTGGAGAGCTGCTGCCTATCAGAGTGGATCACAACAGGTGAATTACTAGTATAAAGCAGCTTCCTGTGATTAATGTGTGGGATGAAACATAAATTTGCTTAAGAGAACTATAATCCAGTGCACAGAATTGTATGTGATGGAACTGATGACAGACATCAGTGAGTGTGGTGTTCCATGATGGATGGACTAATGGCGCAGTTTCTCCATGTGGTGCATGCTATGTTTGCAATTTTCTGCTACCTTTGGTGTGACATGGCATGTCTGAGCTGATTACCTTAAAGAAGAATGGTTGGCAGCTGGCTCTCATGGATGATACCCAAGAGAGAGAAGATATTATTTACATCCTGGGCACAGTATATCCTTGTCATCTGTCATGGAAGTGCTAGACCATAGAATGGATCGTGCCCTGGGAAGCTTAACTCCCACCTGAATGCTTTGTTTTCTTCCAAAGCTATTTCAGGAATTTGAGAAGAGAAAGAGGTTATTGTTCAGGGTGGAAGGAAGACAGAATAGGATAATGATGACAATTGGTTTTTTTTTTAAGGAAAACATTCACTTTTCACATGGTAAAGATAGCAGGAAAATTGAAAGATGAGTTTTTCTGCTAAATCAGGAGTGGTAAACTTCCACACTGGACGTGAACTAGAGCCAGGTTTCATCTGGCCTTCTGGGGGCCCTCCCAACCATCAGCTGTTCAGTGGGACATGTGCAGTAGCAGATCCTTCCTCCTAGCTGTGCTAGGTGATAAAAGACAAGGGTGTTGGGAAATATTTTAAGTGAATTTTTGTTCCTTGCAAATATATAAAAAGTAGTTCATGCATTTTGCAATTGTATGCATGCAATTTTTGGTATGCAGTTGCCTTTTGAAATTTGAGCCTTTTAAATAGCTATAAGGTGGGTCTGCAGTTCAACTGTGCATTGACCTTATTTGTTTTCTTCTGCTGGAATTATTATTATTATTATTATTTCAATTTATATACTGCCCTTCATCAAAAGATCTCAGGGCAGTGCACAACATTAGAAACACATTACTAAACATCAGTGATGAAAACAAAATAAAAACATAGTAAAAGGTATACTGACAGACAGTCGAATTGTAAAATAATCATAATACAGTGGTACCTTGGGTTAAGAACTTAATTCGTTCCGGAGGTCCGTTCTTAACCTGAAACTGTTCTTAACCTGAAGCACCACTTTAGCTAATGGGGCCTCCTGCTGCCGCCACGCCACCGGAGGACGATTTCTGTTCTCATCCTGAAGCAAAATTCTTAACCCGAGGTACTATTTCTGGGTTAGCAGGGTCTGTAAACCGAAGCGTATGTAACCTGATACGTATGTAACCTGAGGTACCACTGTAATAACAGTCCTCTCCCCCCCCCCTTCACAGGCCACAGATTACTTAATAGCCATAGGCCTGGGTAAAGAGGAATGTTTTTGCCTGGTGTCTAAATATCTGTAACAATGCTGCCAGGCGAGCCTCTCTGGGGAGAGCATTCCACAAAATATCCTATTGCCAATAAGAAAGAAAATAAAAAGGCCTACCTTTAGTTCCCACACAATTAAAATTATAGTATTTCCCAGGTTAAAGGGCTTCACTATTCAGCAGGTTTTAACCCCACCACTGCTGTCTTTTAGAAATTGTCTCTCAACCAGTCAATAATTGTATTAAATTCTGTGGTAAGAACACTGAAACCCTGAAGTATATCAGTTTGTTCCAAAGCCTGTTGAAGCTATTGGGATTATTGCCACACTAAGTTCAATAAGCTTTGAAACAGGAAGATGTGACAAACTAAAATAAATCTTAGTAAATTCACAACATGGAAAATGACCTTGAAACAGGCTGCATTTTTGCTTATACTGTACTTGTACAGTAGTTGTGCTGTAACAAAGCTCCAGGGAAATTTACATACCCATCTGGATAAAAAATATAATTCATTTACACCTCGCCACGTGGGTGAAACATGCAAATTAAAAACCCTTTTTTCTTGTGACAAATAGTGGTCGTCTTTCTATTTTTGCCTCTAGTGTGAATTATTGTTTCCCGTTCTTTGCTCTAATTGTTTAGGGGAAAACATACAATTTACACTTCAAAGAGTTGCTGTAAATGAGTTGGGCATTGTGCAATTGTGTGAAAGTTTTAATATTATATTGCTGAAACTCTGAAGACCTTCCACTCATTAAAGTGAAAGATTTTGCCTAGTTTTAATTTGGAAACTGGCAAGTTTGTATTTGCTTCGTCTAGTAGAAATGTGTCAAGTTTGACTGGAGAACTTCCTCCCACAATGGCCGATCTGATCTACTCCAGTGTACACAACTGGAGCACTGCAATATTTGAGTGGGAAGATTGCCAATAGGTATCTTTAAAATTGCAGCTGTTATAGCCGTAAGACACTGTACCACCTTGTCACTTACTGTTTTGTTCCTTAGCTACCTTCCTATTTACTATCAGCAGCTGATGATTCGTTAGCAGCAGCTTTCCATTTGCCGCTAAATACCTCCACAGGGTTAGCCTGCTTCGATGTCACCTGGTATCTGCAGGCTGTCTTTACCACAACAGGAATAGGCTATATAGCAGTGTCTTACCTTTGAGGTGCTTGAGGATATGAATCAGGGTTGCCACAGGGACATTTTGTATAAGCAAATGTAGCCTTCTTATCAGGTGGTGTGAATGAAAAGAACCTGAAGATGCCAAGAACAGCTGTAGACCCATGATTGCACCCTGATAAGTAGGGGGTGATCCTATTTACAGCAGGGTTTTTTCCCATAGATCCCAGTCTGCTATGCATTGCAGTGAGCTTGGATAGCTCACTTGGTTAGAGTGTGGTGCTGATAATTCAAGACACAAGGGAGAAACATGCTAAGAGGAAGGCAGGTTTGGCAAATCCACACCGTGATCAACTCCTGCCCGGAAACCAATGTCCCCACTGTGGAAGGATGTGTGGTTCCAGAATTGGCCTCCACAGTCACTTACGGACTCATTGTTAAAACCGTGTTTCTGGAAGACAATCTTACTCGGCTATAAGTGATCGCCAAAGAAGAAGAAGGTGCTGATAATGCCAAGGTTGCAGGTTCAATCCCTGTATGGGACAGCTGCATATTCCTGCATTGCAGTGAGTTGGACTAGAATAGATGATCCTCAGGGTCCCTTCCAACTCTACAATTCTATGAAACTAGTATCTGGATTGGCCACCTATTAGCTTCCCACACCCAATTACATTGGTTTTTAAAAGCAAGATATAGTTTCCCATCATATCTTCTATTTTTCCTGCAGCTTGTTGCATTTTTTCTGATTTTAACATCTGCCTGTATTGTATGTTATTTTTATATTTATGTTATGTTGAAATTTTAAGTATTTATTGATTAATCGTATATGGAATTGATATCCACAATGCAGAGTGGCATAGAAATCTTTTAAACAAACAAGCAAACACTTTATATGCATCCTGTGCAAGTAGGAACACCCTGTCACCCTCATACAATCTCTATAATTTTCACATTTTGCCAGATCAGCTTATGAAGAAAAGGACTGTGATGCTTTGAATCAACAAAGAAAGGACCAAAGAAGAAAATACACATCTTTAATTAAAAGCAGTTCAAGTGCTAATGTTTCCTGCAAAAATAAATAAATAAATCACACTGCAGCAGAATTGATTGTTTGTTTTCCAATATTTAAATCTTTGTCAGAGCTCAAAGGCAGGGGTGCTACTTGCAGTTAAACCTTGTGATAAACTACCCTTGGCAACACTGTGTTGATTCATTATGTTAACAGCTAAGCATTTCTTATAATTTATGGTTACGATGCATTAACTGAAGTTTATAGTGCTATGTACAGAACAACAGTAGTAATTGTTCAATTCCACTTCCAGTAGTTTCATGCAAAAGTTGCAGGAGCTAAAGAAACTTTCTCATGGGTGAACCTTGCAGTCTCCTACTGGATTGTCCCCATTCCCCACCTTGCTGCAGCCATTTCTGCCCTTTCTTGTCACCATTCCAGAGAGTTCTTCAACCCATGGGAGCATCGGGGGGGGGGGGGACAGAGAGATAGGGAGGAGCCAAGAGAACCCCACTGCCAAGCAGATTATGCTCAGTTATCTTTGGATGTAACCATTTGCCTTTTCCACTTAAATGAAAGGGGGTAGCAGAACCCTTCACAGAACATTGAGGAAGAGACCACCCTGTCTACAACCCTATGCATGTTTACTCAAAATTAAGTCCATAGGATTGCCATCTCCCAGTTTACCTGGGGGGGCCAGCCCATTAGACTTGCTGGAACTTATTTCTGTGGAGAATTCCACTGCTTGATTCTTGTTCAACTTGGGTCTTGAATGACCTTTTGTTTTAGGAAAACTGGACCTATTAACATTAGAGTTAGATTTATTTTTATTCTGAATACTGTAGTTGTGTAAATAGGACCAGATTAGCCATGCAATGATGATGTTTCTCTTCTGCTTGTGCACTGCGTACCAATAAGCTTCCAGCTCAATTTAAAATGATGGTTCCTACATTTAACCTCACTTTATGACCTGGGACCAATGTATCTTAGAGAGTATCTCCCCCAATATGGACCAAATTTAGGATCACTATCTAGGTTCTTTCCACCCAGAAAGTTAGATTGTCCTGCTTCTAATATGTGACATCCTTAGTGGTTGCCCAAGTTGTGTGAAATCTTCTGCTTATGTCTTCTTTGGAACATATGTAAGAGTCAATGTGTCATTAAATATATGACTTAATATCACATGTATATTTTTAAAACTGCAGTTAACATAGCTAAAGATACTGATCAAGACATGGACTACTGCAGGTGTCAATGGAGAATTTAACCAATGTTGTCAATGAGATCTTCATTCCTGATGAAAATTGCAGCTGGGGGGGGGGAATAATTTTCATCAAGACTATGAGGGGAGAGACCTTCAGCAAGACTGTGGTGGGGTAAAGGGTTAAATTCCCCTTCTCTACCTACTGCTGCCTTAATGCTGATCTGCCCCCTACCCCAGCATCTATCTGCATTTTTAAAAATGCATGCACTGCAACATTAAATCATGTGTTTGAGAGCCACTGTAGTAAATAGAAGATTGGACTAGGACCTGGCAGACCAGAGTTCAAATCCCCACTCAGGCATGACTCACTGGGTGACCTACAGGCAATTACCCTCTTTCAGCCTAACCTACTTCACAGGGTTGTTGTGAGGTTAAAATAGTAAGGGGGAAAATCATGCATGCCACCTTGAATTCCTTGGAGGAAAATTGGGGTATAGATATAATAATAATGTTGTTGTTGTTTAGTCGTTTAGTCGTGTCCGACTCTTCATGATCCCATGGACCAGAGCACGCCAGGCACTCCTGTCTTCCACTGCCTCCCGCAGTTTGGTCAAACTCATTCTGGTAGCTTCGAGAACACTATCCAACCATCTCGTCCTCTGTTGTCCCCTTCTTCTTGTGCCCTCCATCTTTCCCAACATCAGGGGGTTTTCTAGGGAGTCTTCTCTTCTCATGAGGTGGCCAAAGTACTGGAGCCTCAGCTTCACGATCTGTCCTTCCAGTGAGCACTCAGGGCTGATTTCCTTAAGAATGGATAGGTTTGATCTTCTTGCAGTCCATGGGACTCTCAAGAGTCTCCTCCAGCACCATAATTCAAAAGCATCAATTCTTTGGCGATCAGCCTTCTATATGGTCCAGCTCTCACTTCCATACATCACTACTGGGAAAACCATAGCTTTAACTATACGGACTAATAATAATAATAATAATAATAATTAATAAATAAAGCCACATGGCCCTTGCCTTATATTTTTATGGAACTAATAAAGAGAAAATGATTAAATATGATTTAGATTTCCGGCTAGCTTAGCATGCTCCTGTATTTTTTTTAAAAAAAATCAGTGCTCCACCTGTCATAGGAATTTAGGAGTAACCTCTTATAATCTCAAGCAGCTGGGTTTCTTTGTTCTTCAATTGAGACCTATGCTTCTGATTTTCTCTCTCCTTCTGTTCTTTGATATAAACATTCTTTTGATTTTTCTATTAATTTTTTTTTTTACCTGGTCTAGAAAGACTAAAGAAACTAACCAAATCAGATGTAATTTACGATTTATTTGATATTGCCTATTTAATTCAGCCATGTTTATTAAAAAGGACTCCTTATGAATTCTTAATGGAAGTGTCTGCAATCACTTGCCCTGGCAATTTTAACACTTGAGTGCAAGGGGAAATGATTATAATGATTAGACTCCTGGCTCTTGTTTGATATTTTGTAAATCTTTCACTTTTTATAAGGCACCAACTTTTAATAACCAAATTTAATAACAATTCACTTCAAAGAGTAGAAGTAAAAAACCAAGCTTTTTTTAAAAAAAGAAACTTCAATGCACCATGAGCAAGTGATTAAAATTACTGTTTTACCTTGAGAAATCTGAAAGACAAACGTGGATGACTGCTGTACTGATTGGTTTTCTATTAAGGCTTATTTTAACTGTAGCTGATTGCTAGTCAGGGAACTCTTATACATGTCTACTCAGAAGTAAGCCTCATTAAGTCCTATGGGATTTACTCCGAAGCAGGTGAGTGCAGGATTGCAGCCAGTTGCCCATCACTGGAAAGGACATACCTTACTGCAGCACACTTGAACTTTCCATTCTTTGGGAGGTTTCATTGCATAATATAGCCAGATAACAGGACTGATCTCGATCACTGTTAGCTCTACCATGAAAATATATGAACTGGCCACTCCGGGCCACAGATTTTGAACAGAATAGAAGACAAAAGTGTGGAAGGACATGGGACTATGCACACCACCCTCAACATAAGCATCTCTGACCTCTTCAGCTCTACTCCTGAAGGGTTAGTCTGAAAGGGGTTTTTTTGTGTGCATTCAACAGAACACCCTTCAAATCTTCTGCAGTCAGGTATTCTGATATTTCAGGGTTTCCAGCAATGGGGAGGTCTCTAACTCAATGTTCAAAGAATCACTTTTCATACCTCCCACCTCTGTATAAGATCAGGGTAGAGCTGGTTTGGGTAAGTTTCCAAGTATACATGAACAGGGCTAAATAGATATCCCAGTGATGTACGATCAGTAGAAGCCCCAGGAAATGAACAGGTGAAATAATGTGAAGTTAAGAAAGCCAAGAAATAGGGCAGGTGCTGCAGGAGCTGTTACAGGTCAAAGAACTGAAACATCATTGGACCCATGTGAATATCTGTGACATCGCAAAGATCTCCAATTTGCTCAATTCTTCCCTGCCACTCACCAGTGAATGTCTACATAGGGATGAGGAGAAATTCAATTCAGTTCACATTTAAAGTCAAACCCGCCTAGTTTGCACTTTCCAAAATAATACACAGATTGAAACAACCACCCTTCGAAATTGATACTCTGCTAATTTTTGCAATGCAGTTCTCCATCCAAGTAGTTAGCACAAAAATGCAAATACTAGCGTAAACTGTGCATAAAATTCCTATATTTGTGAAAATAGCTTTAGAAATTAGTGGAAATTGCTTTGCATTAAAATGTGTATTTGGGGCCAAATTGCATACAGACATGCATGTTGTGAGAAATTACTGATGAATTTTCATGAGGAATTTTTTAAAAACACAAACTAATGCAGAAATGTGAAGAACTGAACTTGTGACTGGGAAAGTTAAAAACTGATAGATTTGGCCATCCCCGTGTTTACCTAAAAGTATGTTCCATTGAATTCAGTAAGATTTACTCTTGGTGAATATGTTTAGGATTGCAGCCTTAATATTATGCCATTTTTATTCCAAGTTGAAAATGTGTTTGGAAAAGTATGTTTTTGTGCCATTTTAAAAAAACTAAAAGATTCCATCAGTAGTCTTAAGGACAGTCTCCAGAGTGATTATTCGGTTAAAGCATATTGCACAAATTAATGAAGAGCTGTAGAACAGACACATAGCAGACACTGGAAATATAAACTTGGCAATTATGCCAGCATATAAATTAGTAGGAAAGTATAGAACAAACACCAATTAAGTCATAACAATTACAGAGGGAATAGTAGAATGAACACTAGAAGGTGAAATGCTAAAGAAATGCTGAAACATTTACATTCTGAACATTTCATGAATTTATA